CTACAACTAATGCATTTATTGTGATTAAGAAGCAAATTGTCCCTGTAACTAAAGTTCTCATTTTCATGGGTCAGTGTACTCACATATGTCTCATAATAATACATATATTTTTAACTTAATGTATGACCATGTTATTTATGTCAAGAGACAGGTGGCATAAAGATCTATAATATATAAGTTCTAAAGTATAAAACTATTTTTTGTACATAATTGAAGCACTTAGTGCAATCAACATGTTGATTAGAACGTCACACAATAGCTCACAGAATTTAAAGAAAATAAACAAGAAAATTGGTTGATCTATATTCTTGGAAAAATTTTTTTACCACTTTGTGGAGTTTGCTTCTCCTATACTCCCTGTAAATTGTTTGTATAAGTGAATAGAGAAAAAACTCAAAACATATGCTTTGAAATATTAAAAGCAGCTGTCTCTGGTGTGGATTTGGATGATTTTTACACTTTTTTTCCCTCAAGTGCTTTTTTTACTCCGTGGTTTACTTTTACTAAAAAACGAGTGTTGCTTATCTAGTAAGATAAAGAGACAGTTATTTTCTTTTAGAAAAATAGTTAAAAGCTTATGAGAATGATGCAGAAATGAAAATTAAAGATTAGTGAACGAGAATTAAGAATTCAGAAAGACTTCACTTATAAAGTTTCCATAATAAAAAAAAAAGCAATTATGTAAAATGAAGCTTGAAACAAAATAAAATCAGTTATTAAAGTCATCCTTAAAATGATCTTATATTACTCCTAACCTTAAAGTCTCTGTGCCAGTGAAATTTACCACCTTTCAGGACAGATCAAGGTCTGAGCATGATTTCCTGGATTCACCAGATTACTTGGTTTTAGCAGAGTTTGTTTCTTTGTGATTTCTTCTGCTCACCATCCATACTCCCTCCACCATCTGCAAGCCTTCATCCAGCTGATCTTAAATGTACTAAAAGACTTCCTTCCTCTTAATTGCTGCCCAGTGTTCTTTCCTTTGAAATTGTAGATCAGGCCCACTTCCTTGATTTAATACCACTAATTTTCTAAACCTATCATTTAATTCTCGATTCATCACATTTAGCACACTTGGATTTCTGTAAACATATTTATTTGGATTTTATATTTGTCAGCCTTAGTCTCATTGAAGAGGCTAACCTTTGAGTCAGACCAAATCTTACTTTCCCTTTTTATTCAAAGAGGGACCACAAATATGGTGCATGATTATATAAACCTCAAAGTCCTTCTTAAAAAAAAAAGTTAATAGAGTTTATTTTGGAGTAGGTAAGTGCCATGCATAAGCCATGTAGCAGGTTGTTACCATAGGGTATCTGTTGTTATTTTAAGATCCTAGTATGATTTCTAGTTTAAGGTCAGCCTTATTCTTAAATATCTGCTGGATATTACTACTTATTGTTTCTTTAAAACCAAAATGGGTTTTGTTCTAAACATTCTTGATCCTACTCTTTTGTCATGAGGCTGAAAAAATAGTAATATCCAGAGTATTTTACCCTTTTTCAAACAGTCAGCTGAAAATGACTTTGGTTCTTGTTCCAGAATATGTCTGGCAAAGGAAATATGTGACCTTTTGACCTCCTGTTCTGCTGTGATAGCTTGTTGTTTCAGACCCTTGACTTCAAAGATGTTTCATTTTAAACTACATTTTCATGGTATTTTCCATCTGAAAAACCTCCAGACTTTGTCCTGAGCTTACATTTGAACTCTAAGCCCAAATTATCTCATGTTCCCTTGGCGAACTGAACATCTGCTTTATCTGCGTTATAGCCTCGGTCCTCTTTGCCAACTCCGAGACCCCTCCAACCTCATCACAGCCTTGCCTGTCATCCCCGCTGCCTCAAACCACTTCCCCACAAGTGTTTTTCCCAAGTCCAATATTGCTCAAGATAAAATATCATCTTTTCCATGAAGACTTATCAAGGTGCACTGCCTTAAGAGATCTTTCCTTGATCTGAACTCCTCAAGTCCTAACTGCCAGCACACGTTCAGGACATCACTTTACCACATGCAGAATCTTGGTCTCTGTCTTTCTTCTGTCCCTATTCTCTGCCTAGAAAGGCAGGCCCCTCAATGTATCTTATATATCGATATCTTACCCCCTGCCTATGTCGCAATAACTGGTCAGGATGGATGGTCACTTGATCTTCAGACATTCCAGTTCATGTAACATATAAGGTAGGAGAAATTTTAGAGTATATCCAGCATTTTTTAAAAATATAATTTAGAATACTCAGTTTTGACTTAGAGTTAGATGGTATCATAAATTCTAGCATTAATAGAACTCTAATCACTTTAAAATTTATATTTTCCAACTGCATAATATTCTTTATGGATGCATAATGAATATTTATTGAGCAAATAATTTGTCAATCAGTAGTTAAGATGCCTTGATTTTAGTATTTTAGGGCAAAGGAAATATCTCATATCTCTCAAATTATTAAACACATACATCTGAACTTCACCACTTTTTCTGAGATTGTATTTGTGATGTTATAATTTACTTTGGTCTTTTTAGGCTTTCCTGGTGACTCAGAGGGTAAGGAATCTGCCTGTTGTGTGGGAACCTGGGTTTGATCCTTAGATCGGGAAGATCCCCTGGAGAAGGAAATGGCAACCCACTCCAGTATTCTTGCCTGGAGAATTCTACGATCAGAAGAACCTGGTAGGTTACAATCCATGGGGTTGTGAAGAATCAGACACAACTTAGTGACTAACACTTAAACTTAGAGTTCTACCAGCATGGCAGATGCACTGCTGCTTTAGGACACCTGTCCCCACTGATACTCTTTCCCCCACAAAACTCCTGCGGTGGATATTCAGATATTACTCTCTCACTCAGACTTCCATGACCCCTCTATTTCAAAGTTCATCTCTTCTCCCCGACACTTAGTATCCTTGTCTTTAGCTTTATTTTCTCCATAAAAGTAATACCATGTGATAGGCCAGATGTTTTTCAAATTTACTTGCTTACTGTTTGTTTCTTCTATCTAGATTATAAATTCTGGGAGAACAAAGTTTCTTTTGTTGAATTTGTTTAAAATTATATCATCAATGCTAAGAATGTAGTAGGAGTTAGGCACATGGGTGTAAAATGACTCTCTGCTGAGAGAGATCTAGTCCATACACATCACATACTTTTATGCTTATGGACATATTTTTGTCTTTTAAATTGAAAAATAAACAAATATTTCTAATTTTAGGAAATTACCTTCTGACTTTTCAGATCTTCTATTGTCATATTTCCTGGCCCACATATTAAATAAAAGACCATCAAATAAGACAGGGAGAATAAAGTTACAGAGTTACTGAATTTACTTAATTAAAAAGTGAGCCTTCTGATTTTGTCTGTCAGTGTGTGAAAGTTAGAGTTGGACTTGATTCATTAAAAAGGCATTTTCTTAAAAAACTGGATAGGTCTTCTAACTGAAAATTTAAAGTCAAGTTGGTACCAGTTTGTCCCAGGACTCACTGCAAAGTGAGTTTTTAAAGGAGAAAAAAAAAAAAAAAGTTCTTACAGTGCATTTAAATTCCAAATCCCTATAAGCAAATTAAATTCTAAAAATAATCTTTTAATTTTGAAACAGAACTTTGGAGACAGAGAAATGATCATGTGGTCAATCAACCCCTTAATTATTTGGATAATTACCCTTAGCTCTGGATAACATGCCATATGCTTGAATGTGTTTCACAGACATTTCATAATTCTCCTGGTAGTCACAAAATTTTATATTCAGATCTCTAGAAAAATTTCTCTCAAATTGAGGGGTGGGGAAGCATATGCCTTCTATACTCTCTAAATTCTACTGTGAGACAATCCAAAAATATCATATTTATGGGCAAGTTTGGCGTTTGTTTGGTATTTATGGAAGAAATTGTCTTCTTGGTTGTAGAAATTGTTGTCTTGAGAGTTGACATTTTCACATTTAAAAAAACATGATGTTTCCTTCATATTTTAGCCTACTTTTCAGGTTAAATTGAAACAGTTAAAGAATTTAATAATTTCCTTTTGCAATGGCCCTGTTTGTAAATGTATTGTTCAGGAAGGTTTTTTTTTTTTTTTTTAACTTTTGAAATTGTGTCCCCCTAGTTGTTTTGATGATTCTGTATATGTCAATGTAATGAAACTGACTAATAACTTCTGACCCAGCCTAAGGTAGAGATCTTCCATTCTACAAAAAAGGAGCCCAACTTCACCTATTACCTTGGTATAAATATTCTAAAATACTTATATATCCTTATTATAGATTTGAACTATCCAGATATAGGGGTCTATTTCTAACCAATATTATTTTATGACTGTTTAGTACTTTGATTTAATGTTTCTTAACCTACTAGCATCCTTAGGAATACCTTTTGTTGTTGCTGTTGCTCAGTTGCCCAGTCTTGTCGGACTCTTTGGGACCCCATGGACTGTGGCATGCCAAGCCTCCCTGTCCCTCATCATCTCCGGGAGTTTGCCCAAGTTAATGTTCATTGCATCAGTGATGCCGTCCAGCCGTCTCATCCTCTTGACGACCTCTTCTCCTTCAGTCCTCGATCTTTCCCAGCATCAGGGACTCTTTCAATGAGTCATCTGTTCACATCACATTTGAATAGTTCTGTTAGGAATACCTTAGATAGTCCTAAATTTTTTACTCAGAAAATTGAATTATGTATTTATGGACAATTGTTTTTGACATAGATTTGAACTTATTTATTTATTTATTTATTTTTTCTCATTAAACTTTTTTTAATGGGTCTCAAATTCTGTGACAGATTTTTGGTCAAGTTGTTTTCATTAAAAAGTACTGATTTTAAAAACGAATAACTTAAACTGCCACACACAAAACATATGGTCCACAAAAACATTCTCCTTTCCTTCTGAAGGTTTTACGATGCATTGTTATCATTAACCAGTCTTTTACTATTAAATTTAAATGGCCAATTGAGACAAACAGTTCTGAGACCATTCTTCCATCACTGATTAAGACTGGGGTGGCAGGTGTTGGGGATAATATTCACTTAGCCTTCTGAGCTTTCTGGGCAGACTTGGTGACCTTGCCAGCTCCAGCTGCCTTCTTCCACTGCCTTGATGACACCCACAGCGACTGTCTGTCTCATGTCACGCACAGCAAAACGGCCCAGGGGAGGATAATCAGAGAAGCTCTCGACACACATGGGCTTGCCAGGAACCATATCAACAATGGCAGCATCACCAGATTTCAAGAATTTAGGGCCATCTTCCAGCTTTTTCCCAGAACGATGATCAATCTTCTCCTTCAGCTCAGCAAACTTGCAAGCGATGTGAGCTGTGTGACAATCCAGCACAGGTGCATATCCAGCACTGATTTGGCCTGGATGCTTCAAAATAATCACCTGAGCTGTGAAGCCAGCAGCTTCCATGGGTGGATCATTTTTGCTGTCTCCAGCCACATTGCCACGACGGACATCTTTGACAGACACGTTCTTGACATTGAAGCCCACATTGTCCCCAGGAAGGGCTTCACTCAATGCTTCATGGTGCATTTCTACAGACTTCACTTCAGTTGTTACATTGACTGGAGCAAAGGTGACCACCATGCCAGGTTTGAGAACACCAGTCTCCACACGACCCACAGGGACAGTACCAATACCACCAATTTTGTAGACATCCTGGAGAGGCAAACGCAAGGGTTTGTCAGTTGGGCGAGTTGGTGGCAGGATGCAATCCAGAGCTTCAAGCAGGGTGGTTCCACTGGCATTGCCGTCCTTACGGGTGACTTTCAGTCCCTTGAACCATGGCATGTTAGCACTTGGCTCCAGCATGTTATCACCATTCCAGCCAGAAATTGGCACAAATGCTACTGTGCCGGGGTTGTAGACAATTTTCTTAATGTAGGTGCTGACTTCCTTAACAATTTCCTCGTATCTCTTCTGGCTATAGTGTGGCTCAGTGGAATCCATTTTGTTAACTCCAACAATTAGCTGTTTCACACCCAGAGTGTAAGCCAGAAGGGCATGCTCGCGGGTCTGCCCGTTCTTGGAGATACCGGCTTCAAATTCACCAACACCAGCAGCAACAATCAGGACAGCACAGTCAGCCTGGGATGTGCCTGTAATCGTGTTTTTGATGAAGTCTCTGTGTCCCGGGGCATCAATAATGGTAACATAGTACTTGCAGGTCTCAAATTTCCACAGGGAGATATCAATGGTGATACCACGCTCACGTTCAGCTTTCAGTTTGCTCAAGACCCAGGCATATTTGAAGGAGCCCTTTCCCATCTCGGCAGCCTCCTTCTCGAACTTCTCAATTGTTCTCTTGTCGATCCCACCACATTTGTAGATCAGATGGCCAGTCGTGGTAGACTTCCCTGAATCTACGTGCCCAATGACAACGATGTTGATGTGGGTCTTCTTTCCCATTTTGGCTTAGGTTTAACGGTGGTTTTCACGACACCTGTATCCTGGCGGCAAACCCGTTGCGAAAAAGCTTGAACTTATTTAGTATGCTGTGAGTTGTCCTTTGATTTCATAAGCTGAGTAGAAATCATTGTTTTATGGTAATGTTCTTGAGATATAACTCACAGACCATATAGTTCACCTTTTTAAAGTGTAAGTCTTTGAATTTTAGTACATTTGCGTATATGCACAATTATTACTACCATCTAATTTTAGAACAGTAATATCACCCCAAAGCACATTAGTATCACTTCCAATTCTTCCCTCCTTCAACCTTTGGAAGTTTTTCAGGCACTTTCTAACTCTAAGGATTTCTCTATTATGAAGACTTTTGTAAATAGAATCAATCATATAATATGCCACGTTTTGTGAATTTTTTTTTCAATGACTATAATGTTTTCAAGGTTCATCATGTTTTAGTATCCATTCATGTATCAGTGACTGATTTCTTTCAGTATTGAGTAGTAATCCATTGTAGGGATGAATTGAATTTTGTTTATCTGTTCATCATGTGATAGGTAGTTTCAAATTTTTAGCAATGATGAATAATGCTGCTATGAACATATTTATGTACTCATTTTTGTGTAGGCATATGTTTTCATTTATCTTGGATATATATCTAGGAATGGGATTTGTGTCATAAGGTAATTCTATGTTTAGCATTTTGAAGAACTGCCAAATGGGGTCTCCAAAGGGGTTACAACATTTGCAATCGCACCAGCCATGTATGGGTGCCAATTTCTGTACATCATTGCTAACATTTATTAGTTTGTATTTTGCATTATAGAAGTACTAATAATATATAAAATGTTTACTTTTTGACTGTAAGGAATGAATGAAAGATGTATGCATTTATCAAAACTTATTAAAAAGTATTTATTAAATATGTACAGTTTATTATATGTTACACCTTAATTAAGTTGTTAACTGAAGAAGAAATTAAAACATTCAGGTCAACAGAAAACAAGAGAATTGGTTTTTGGCATATGCACCCTACGAGAAATACTTAAAGGAGTCCTTCAGGCTGAAATGAAAAGACACTAATCAATAACTCAGATACACATTATAATATAAAGAACATTAGTAAAGATATTTTCAAACATGAGTATACTAGACAACATAAATTTATGTTGTTTATAAGTCATTTATTCTCTTACATAGCTATCAGTTCAATTCAGTTGCTCAGTTGTGTCTGACTCTTTGTGACCCCATAGACTACAACATGCCAGGCTTCCCTGTCCATCACCAAGTCCCGAAACTTGCTCAAACTTACATCCATCGAGTCAGTGATGCTATTAAACCATCTCATCCTCTGTTGTCCCTTTCTCTTCCTGACTTCAATCTTTCCCAGCATCAGGTTTTTTCTGATGAGTCAGTTTTTTGCATTAGGTGGCCAAAGTATTGGAGTTTCAGTGTCAGCATCAGTCCTTCCAATGAATATTCAGGACTGATTTCTTTTAGAACTGACTGGTTTGATCTCCCTACAATCCAAGGGATTCTCAAGAGTCTTCTCCAATATCACAGTTCAAAAGCATTACTTCTTTGGTGCTCAGCTTTTTTCATGGTCCAACTCCCACATCCATACATGACTACTGGAAAAACCATAGCTTTGACTAGATGGAACTTTGTTGAAAAAGTAATGTCTCTGCTTTTTAATATGCTGTCTAGATTGGCCATAACTTTTCTTCCAAGGAGTAAGCGTCTTTTATTTTCATGGCTGTAGTCATTATCTGCAGTGATCTTGGAGCCCAAGAAAATACAGTCTGTTACTGTTTCCATTGTTCCCCCATCTATTTGCCATATATAGCTATAAATACATATAAAACTCATCATAGAGACTCACAATGCATGAAGTAAAACACAGAATTGAAGGGAGATGAACACAATTCAGTGATAATAGTTGCAGGCTAAACTACCTCACTTTTAGAAATGGATGTAGCAATGAGATAAAATTACAGGGAAATCTAAGACTTGAACAACATTATAAGTCAACTAGACTTAATTGACATCTACAGAATAATCCATGCAGTGATTTCAGAATGCACAGTCTTTTCAAGTTAAGATGGAACATTCTCCAGGATAGACCATGGGAAATCTCAAAACATTAAAAATGATTGAATCCACAAACAGGTGGGTTCTTAGACCATAATGAAATGAAATTAGAAATCAATGACAGGAAGAAATTTTGGAATTTAAAAAATATTTGGAAGTTAACACACTCCTAAATAGTTAATGAATCAAGTGGGAAATTACAAGAGAATTAAGAAACTATATTGAGGTTATTGAAAATGAAAGGCCAATATTATCAAATTTATGTGATAGACATAGCAATGTTAGGGGGGAATATTACAGCTGTAAACCCAAAGTAGGATTTATCCCAAGAATGCAAGGCTATTTTCACATAAAAATTCAATTTAATGCAATATAATGTTAGAATACAGTGGAAAACTACAAATGGTTGCATCCACTCAACCAAAATATCAACAAAATCCAACAGTCTTTCATAATTAGACACTTAACAAGTTCAAGATTGAAAGAAACATCTTAAACTTTATAGAGAGTATCTATGGAAAACTTGTTAAATATCTTATGGAAATGCTGAGCTTCACCTCATATAAAAAATAAGACAAAGGATTTTCATTCTCATTATGTATTTTCAAATTTTTCCTGGATTTTCTACTCAGAACAATTAGAGAAAATAGATTTAAAAACCATCTATATTGGAAAGGAAGAAGTAAAATTATCTCTATCATCAATGATATAATATTATATATGAAAACATCAAAAGTGCACACACATACACACAAAGAGGGCTGAAAAATAATTTCAGGAAAATTGTAAGTTGCAAACTTAATACACAAAAATACACAAAAATCAATTGCATTTCTACCCACTATCAATATTTGGGAAATAAATTTAAGGAAAAATTCCATTTATAGGTTTAACACAATTCTTATTAATATCTTGAATACAAGCTAAAGTTCTTAGAGAAATGCAAGAGGCTCAGAATATCCAAAACACACTTTAAAAAAATAGTAAAATGTGTGTTTGATAAGTCTTTAGCCAGGCTGATCAAGAAAAAAAGAGAACCCAAATAAACAAAATTAGAAATGAAAAAAGATTAATTACAAATTATATCACAGAGATTCAAAAAAATCATAAGTGAATACTTTGAAGAGTTATATGCCAACAAATTGGACAACACAAAGAAATGGATAAATTTGTAGAAACATACAGTTTTCCAGGACAAAATTGGGAGAAAAAATACTCTTCTGAGCACCAGCAGTGAAATTGAATTTCTTTTAAAACATGTGCATATCTACTATCCCATTAACCTATAAATCTCATTTCTAGAAAAAAGGATATGTACAAAGATATAGGCATGGAATAGAATGTTACCTCCTGTGTTGCTTGTATTACAATGTTGGAAAAAAGTCATCTAGTAAAGGGCTTCCTAGGTGGCGCAGTGAAAAATCCACCTGCCTATGCAGGAGATAGAGGAAACACAGGTTCTGGGTAGGGGAGATCCCCTGGAAAATGAAACGGCCAAACCTTCCTGTATTCTTGCCCAGAAACCCCAGACAAGGGAGTCTGGTGGGCTACTGTCTATGGGGTTGCAAAGAGTCAGACATGACTGAGTGCCTGAGCATGCATGCATCTAATAAACATTAATAAATTCAAAAGATTAAAAATAGAAAACATGTGAAAACTAACACTTCCTAATTGCAAAACTTATTACAAAGCCTCAATAATCAAGGTAGTGGGGTGTTAGCATAAGAATATACAGAGATCAATAACATAAAATTAAGAGTCCAGAAATAAGCCCAAATATTTGTGGACAGATTATGTCTGAAGAAACCAGAAGAAAAGAAATCATAAAAGAGGAGAAATCTATGTAATTGAAAGCAGGCAACCAACAGAGAACCAACAAAATTTTAAAAAGCTAGTTCTTTGGAAATTTCAATAAACTTTTCAGGTTAATCAAAAAGACAGAATTTGGGGAGGAGAGAGAAAGATATAAATTACTAATGTCAGAAATAAGAGGAGGTAATTAGTCATGATCACATGGGCATTATTAAAGGATAAAAAAGGAATATAATAAACAGCACTATGGTCTCAAATCTGTAACTTTAATGAAATATATAAATTTCTTGAAAGATTCTTTCAAACAAACTCACAGAAGGAGAAAAAATGTCACCTAAATAGGTCCATAAAATTTGAAAGAAGTTAAATCACTTCCTTAAAAGAAACTACAAGGCCCAGATGGTTTTACTGTTCAAATATTATTTTATTTGCTAAGAATATTTCACACAAGACCTACTTTCTAAGCAGACTTTTAAGTTTACAATACATTGCTATTTTCTATAGACATGGTGCTGTACAACAGACCTCTAGAACTTGTTCATTTTTCATAACTAAAATTGTATACCCGTTGATTAGAAACACTCCATTCCCTCTTTCCAGTCCTGGCTAGCATCATTCTACTATTTGCTTCAATGAACTGACTATTTCAGATACTTAATATACATGGAATCATGCAGTATTTGTGTGTGTGTGTGTGTGGACTAGCTTATTTCATTTAGGCTAATGTCTTCAAAATTTCATTTATGTTGTCACATATTGCAAGATTTCTTTCTTTTCAAACCCTAATCTTCTATTGTATGTATTTGTTGCATTTTTCCAATCATCCATTATGAATATCAGGGTTTTTTTTTATGGCTTGGTTATTGTGAAGACTAATGTAAAGAACATGAGAGTGCCAATACCTCTTTGAGGTTCTGATTTCAGTTCTTTTGTAAAAATACCCAAAAGTGATATGGCTAGATCATATAGTATTTTCAACTTTTTGATAACCTTTCATGCTGTTTTTCCATCTAAGCTTAACAATTTTGCTTTCCCATCAATAGTGTATAAGGGCTACATTTTTTCCATTTCCTCAGTAACACTTGTTATCTTTTGCTTAG